ACGCCGGTTACCCGCGCGACGATTTCATAGAGTGTTTGAGCGATATTCGTTTTGCTGTTCTCGAAGCCCAGAGCCAGAACTACCGGTGCGTGTCGGGCGGAGATTTCAATACCGAGGTTGGAAGAGGCAGGTGAACTGCAATATTACCAGCTTTCGCTGCCGAACTGGATATTGTGATTTGCAACATAGTCGAGGATGAGCTTCTAGAGTGTCAGTGGACTTTCCGCAGCTGCCTCGGACGACTCCGCCGTCTGGATTACGTCATGGTCAGCAGTTGCACATCTTTCCACAGTGCAAAGCCGACAAACATGCTTGACCTCGGTTCAGATCACAGGGCGGCGCAGGTGCGCCTTCAAGCTCCGGCGTTGGCTGGGCAGAGGAGTCGACGGAGGCGCCGGCAGACGCACAAAGACATCGATTGGGAGATGTACGCCACCAAGGTGCCCCAGAAGATCGCTGCTCAAGAGTTCCCTCCGCCATCTCTGGGCGACGTGGAGCGCATCGCTCTTCTTGCAGCTGGGGAGTCGCAGCGGCCCCGGTTGCCCGCCCAGCAGAGCAACGGGAGCAGCCATCTGGACCGTCTGCGAAGAAGGAGGAGATGCATGACCAACCCGGCCGAGAGACGAGATATCTCAAAGGAGATCTGGAGGCTGAGCCGGAAAGAATCTCGTGCACGACAGACAGCCAGAAGAACTGAGGTGCTCGCTAGCTTCAGTGATCTTCGTCGCCTGGACGCGCTGCACAGATTGCCTATCACAAGATCTTCGCAACAGGGTCCAGATGTTCGCAAATGTGCCGACCTGCTGTCGGAGATATACACGTCCAGCGCGCCGCCCGACGCGGGTGAGCATGACGAGGACCAGGTGCCAGCCGTTACTGTCGAAGAAGTTGTGAAGGCAGTCGAAGCGATGAGACGACGCAAAGCTGCTGACACGAAGGGCGCGTTGCTGGAGATGTTCCTCTTTGGCGGAGACGATATGTCGCACTACTTGTCTGACATGTTCAATGCAATTTTGCAGAGCGGTTGCGTTCCGGCTGACTGGCGAGAGACCTTCTTCAAACTTTTGCACAAGGGCGGGGGCGCCGCAGACCCGAACAATTGGAGGCCGATCGGGATTCTCAGCGTCTCTTACAAGATCCTTGATCGAGTGGTCTTCCACAAGATACGCGGCATTCTAGATTCGCAACAATCTGAAGAGCAGTTTGGTTTTCAACGAGACCGGTCGACTGCTGACGCTCTGATTGTTGCCGAAAGCCTCGCGAGCAAGAGCCTCGAGTTCAACGAAGACCTGTGGCTGGTCAGCGTAGATCTGCGCAAAGCATTTGACAGGGTTGAACAGCCGGCACTGTTCCGCGCTCTCCAAGCGCAGGGACTCCCCTCTGGATTTTGCCAAATATTGCGAACGCTGTACAAATCTCAAACAGGTGTCTTGGGTAATGACTTCCGGTTTCCTATCACCCAGGGCGTCAGACAGGGCGACGTACTATCTCCGCTCCTGTTCAACAGTGTCGTGGAAGCTGCTATCCGCGAGTGGAAGGCGACGCTGAAGGGCCATGGCCTGGCTGTCTGTTCGGACGGAAGCAAGGAGCGTCTGTCGAACATTCGTTTGGCAGACGATCTGTTACTATTCGCCAGCAACGTGGAAAAGGGGCTGTGGACATGCTAGACATGCTCTCGCAGACGCTTCGCAATTATGGTCTGGAGCTCAACATGAAGAAAACGAAGATGTTGTCGACGACGGTCACGGAGAATGACACTGTTCTGATCGAAACTGCCGATGGGTTCGTGGAGCTTGTGGCTGCTAACAGAACCCACAAATACCTCGGGAGGGCGTGGCCGGGCAACCTCCGACAACGCGGACAAGCTGCTATCGACCATCGCGTTTGCTGTGCATGGTTGACATTCAGTTCTCTGCAAACTTCGCTAACGAATAGGCACGTCAACGTCAAACTGCGTCTGAAGCTCTTCAACGCGACCGTTATACCTACGTTGGTATACGGGCTGGAAACTTGTGCGTGGACCACCTAGACATTACGCAGAGGAAAATGCTCTGGCGAATCGTCGGCTGGGTGTTCGACGATAGCGATTCGTGGGAAGATGCTGGCCGCAGAATGAAGCAGAGGCTCGAATCTGCCAGGCGCCTGCACTACATTGCAGATTGGTCTTTGGTTGTATCAAAGCGCAAGAAGCATTTACTGAGTCGTCTGATGTCCCACGCTCCGTCGCTGCCTAAACTAGCGCACGAATGGTCCCCTATTGCATGTGCGGCGCTGAACAACAGCCGGCCGCATCGTGCCAGAGGCCGGCCGCGGCGTCGTTGGTTTGACGACGTGCAGCTCTGACGGCGCATTTTTGTTCTTTCTCCCGAGCTCTGCACAGGGCCGACTTGTTCGATCGGGCGCAACGCAACGGGGGCATCCAGGAAGGGGGGGCATAAATCATGACCGGCGGCATGTGCGCGGCCTGGGGGGGCGCTGGGCACGTAATGAAATGAAAAGAAGCGCCGTGCAATCTGTGGGGTACTGGTGACCAGGGTCAATCCAAACCAGGGTCAGTCGGGTTCGCAAGATCCTGCAACATCCTGCAGGATCCTGCACCCAAACCCGGGTCAAAGCACCCCTGGCCCTGCAGGATCCTGTAAGATCTGGCGATCTGACTGACCCCCGTTTGCGTTGACCCCCGTTTCTTGAGCAGCGAAATCTGGGGAGATATCACCGCCCCGGCCATGATATCCACCCACCCCCTTGAACCATCACCCCCCTCTTGGCCGCCACCGACCCTGGCTGCTCTTCATCCTCTTCCCTGGGGGCTGGACTCCTCCTCCGACCACCTCCCCCGCACCTCCAACAAGCAGCCAACAGCAAGAGCCGCGAGCGGCGCCGCTCCTCCCAGCCTTAGGGGAACAAAACGTGACATGAACATAACAACTCGAAGGTCCGCGCGAATTCCTCGGATCGGCGCTGGGGGGCCCCAGTGCCAATCCGAGGAATCCGCGCGGACCTCCGAATTCTTATGTTTATGCCACTCTTTGTTCCCCTACAGCCGGCCAGCGATCCGCGAACCGAATCGGGCCTCGTCGGATCGACACAGCGGCCATGTGAGCCAGGAGAGCGAGAGCGAGAGGCGAGGCAGATGCCGCTGGCCCCCTCGTCGAGGTCTTCTCTGGACGCCACCGGGAGCAGCGCAGAGGGCAGGCGCGGCATGCCGACGGGCCGCGCTCCACCCCGCCGAGGTCCCGCCGCAGCGGACCTCGGATACCGTCGGGGGTGGATTGGAGAGGAGAGGCGAGAGGACACGAGACCCTTCCGAGGGGCACGCTGCCGCAGGAGTGTGAGAAGGCATGGGTCGCGGAGCTCAGGACACAACGGGTGCCCTTGATTCTGGCGGGGTCGGCCTGACAATCAGCCTCGGCTGTGGGGAGCGACGCCCCCTTCGTTGGCCCCCCTTGCGCCCAGATGCGCCGTCAAAGCGGTGACGCCACCCAATGCAAATACTCTGCCGGCGGCTCTGCTGTGGAACGGTGCCACGTCGGGGACAGAAACGCCAGCGACAGCACCGACGAGCGGGAGGCCGTGCAGAACGAGGGCCGACGAACACCCAGAGGCGGACCTGAGAGACTCAGAGCCCCCTCCGAAACCAGAGCCGTCCAACACCCCTCAAGGCTCTGACTGCAACGCCCCTGAGCCGAGAGGCCACGGCTGGGAGATGGCGGCAGGAACGGAAGGGGAAACTGGCTGCGCATACGCCTGTCGGAATTCGAGTAGGGGATCGACTACATACTACTTCCAACACTGGCTTCTCAGAGTCTACGAAACATGTCCGAGATCTGCAGGGTTCCTCTATAGGGGAACAAAAAGTGTCATAAACATAAAAACTCGGAGGTCCGCGCGGATTTCTCGGATCGGCGCTGGACCCCCATCCCAGGCGCGCGGAGCGCGCCAGGGGCGGCGCCGGAGGCGCCGCCGGGGGGCCCCAGCGCGGACCTCCGAGTTTTTACGTTTATATGACTTCTTGTTTCCCTAATCTAAGACGAGGCCAGGACGAGGATAATATCGGGTGAGGAACAAGCGAGCATCTCTCCTTCTTTTTTCTGGCGCTGTTTCGGAGGGGAGGAGCAGGAGCGGACCAAGCAGCACGATGCCAACCAAGAGCGGCGATGCAATCGTGGAGCCACGGAGCTGCCTCAAACGTTGTACTCAGGAGTGGGATTGAAATACCTGGCCACCTAGACGAGCGTCCGGCGAGAGATGGCCACTACAAATGCTCTCTCTGCGGCGCCGGGCTCAAGGCTGAGATAAATGACCGCGGAAAGGTGAAACAGCAAGGGAGGTGCTGCACGGAGAAAAATCTATGAGACCGGGCGGCTCTGGAAGATGCCTCCAGCACTGCGGCCTTCTCAGAGCGTTCCGGAACGCTCTCAGAGCGTTCTGGTACGCTCAGGCGATGTGGCAGACTGCTGCTCCTCCTCCTCCTCCTCCTCCTGCTGCTCCTCCTCCTCCTCCTCCTCCTCCTCCTCCTCCTTCTGGTCTTCCTGATTCCAAAGCGCGTCCGGATTCATACACGGATCATGTGGATGCTATGTAAATGCGCGGTGGGGCCTTGCGGGGCACGATCCGCGTGCGAAGTGCGCCAAACTGGGCACGGAGACGCCACACTCCGCTAAGACGGCGCCCCCGCTGGGACAGTAGGTGGAGCTCCCTGTGGGGCACGATTCGCGCGAGGTGTGGGCAACCAGGTTGGGAAGAGGAGAGAGGTGAGGAGAAGGAGGAGAACGAGGAGGGGGAGAGGGGAGAGGAGGAGAATGAGGGCGGAGTGAAGCGTGCGCGTGCTCAGAGAAAGAAGGGACCCAACAAACCAGGAGGGCTCGGGAAAACATGCCCGGAGGCATCCAGGAAGTCCAGGGAGGTCCCCGGGAGTCTCCAGAGCTCCGTTTTCCGGGAAACGCAGAAGTTCAGACGCGTCAGAGACATCGATGTCCCTCCGCCGGCGAGGGACCGACTCCTTCTCGATGAGCCCGCCCAGGTACTTCATCCGCTTCGCCTCCATGGACTGCTCCGCGTAGAACCCTGCGTGCGGGGCGGCCCTCCAGAAGCGAGCCCTGGCCGCAGCACCGTCCGCCCACCAGCCCCGCCCACAGATCTCTCCCTGTCTCTCTCTCTCTCTTTCTCTCCTTCTGCCTGTCTTTCTGTCGCTCTTCCCTGTCTGTCCGGTCTTCCTGTCGTTCCGTCGTCTGCCTCCTGTCTGTCTGTCTGTCTGCCTGCCTGTCTGTCTGCGTGTGTGTCTGTCTGCCTGCCTGCCTGCCTGCCTGCCTGCCTGCCTGCCTGCCTGCCTGTCTGTCTCTGTCTCTTCAACCGTCCGTTCGTCTCTCCCCCTCTCTCTCGTTCTCTCTCTTTCTTTCTCTCTCGTCTTCTATACCCGTGCCACCCAACTTCGCGCTTCGAACCCCGCGCTGTGGGAAGCGTTCGGTGACCGACGCCACCTCCGTTCCCCGGCGCCGCCCAGCCCCCTCGGGGCAGGGCAGCGCTCTGGCCCAGGCTGTGAGGAGCATGCGGGTGCCTTCTAGCCCGGCCAGCATCATCTCTGGGCCCTATGCGCAAATCACATGGGCGATTTCGGAAACCCTGAACCCAAAAGCGGCTTCATCTCTTGGGGGCACATCTTTGTTACTTCCGCTGCCTTCCGCCGAACTTCCGCCGGCTCCCGCCCGCGGAGGCGGCCTCGCTTTACTTCCGCCGTCCTTGCGCCGAGGAAGAGATGGCATCCCTTTTCTATCCTCGACGGCAAGGCCATTCTTGGAACGCCCCATATGAAAACAAACCAGACCGGCCCCCGTCACTAGACACGCCAGACGGTAAGCCCCCCCCTGCAACATTCACGGGGTGGGTGGGGCACAGGACAAGACAGTGTGCGGTGCAAATTTGGCAGTCTCGGCAACCAAATCCTCCTTCACGAAGGGGGCACGGGACAAGACAGCATGCTGTGCAAGTTTGGCAGTTTCCGAAACCAGAGCCTCCTTTCTTCGACGGCGGCCCCAAGTGTTTCACGAGTTTGCCCGAGGCTGCAGTCTCAACTGATGCGCAGTCGAGACTACACGTCGGTCGGAAGAAGTATGTAAGAACAATAAAGTAGGACGGCGGATACAGTAGATTGGGCTCAGGCCATCCCAGATAATACAAACAATACACCAACAGCATACCGACCCTTGAAGTAGGAAGGCGCTTCAAGTATATTGGGATCAGGAAAACCAATAACCCCTACTTTTAGCGACCGACGTGCATCCGTATGCAAGGAGGTGCATCGACAAAAAGAAGCTGTTTCAAGCAGGTTAATCTTGCCTCTGTGCATCCTCCTCCTCCTCCTCCTCCAACTCTCCCTCCTACTGTTTCTCATCGTCATCATACGTATCATCCTCATTCTCCACATCGCATTAATCCTCATCCTGCTCCCTCCTGCTCTCCCCCTGCGGCTGCTGCTCCTGCTCCTGCAGCTTGTCGTGGTCGCCTTCCTTCCAAGATTCTGGCTGCTTCTCCCACATCCCTTCCTTCCTCTCCCTCCCTCCCTCCCTCCCTCCGTTCCTTTCCCACGCCCCCGTGGCCGAGTGATATCAATTCCGCCCGCAGACCCCAGGGCCCTCGACTCCTTCTGCGGGGCCCGTTCGTCACCCCATGGATCTCTCGAGGGGCCCCCGGGCCCGACCCCGTCGGCGTGTGTTCAGGGGCTTGTCTACGTATGCGAGTCGTCGTCTCCGTCATTCGTTAGTCGTCGTCGCCGTCGTCCCCCTCCGCCTGCGCCCCCCCATTTCTCGGGCCCGTCGCCGCCTACCCCCCCTTTCCCTGGGCCCTCCTCCTCGAGCGCGGGGCCCGTCGCGCCCCCCCCCCCACCCCCCCTTTTCTAGGCCCTCGTCCTCAAGCGCGCCAACCAAAGAGACATTGAGCAGCGTCGAAATTGACTCGACGTGAAGCCCCTGCCCTTTGATCCCTCCCCCGCCGGGAGGAGGGGGTCCTGGGGGGGTCCCAAGGGTGGTCCCGGGGAGGGTCCCGGGGGGGTCTGGGCGGAGGGGTCCCGGGTCAGGTGCGACTCCCTGCCGGGGGATCCCAGGGCCCCCGAAACGCCCAAAGACGGGTCAATAGTGCTCCAAGAGGCCCCCAAGACGGTCCAAGAGGGCCCCGAATCGCCGAACGATCTGTCCAAGACGCCCTGACGGTCTCCAGACGGCCAAAGAGCCCTGCAAGACGCTCCAAGAGCGCCCCAAGAGGAAAAATCACACAAACGAATTCCCCGTTGGTTTTTGAAGCATTTCGGTATTCTCGCCTCTTCTGTTTTTCCCGACGCCTCAAGACGGCCCAAGAGGGCTCCCCAAGACGGCCAAGACGCCTCCAAGGCGGCCAGAGGCCCCCATGACGGCTCCAAAGAGGTGCCCACGCGAGGGACCAGACTGGTCATTTCGAGCCCTCGGCCCCGAGAAGCTTCCACGAGGAACCAAGAGGCCCCAAATAAGCCCCCAGGAAGCCCCGAGAGGCCCCCAATAGGCTCCCTAGAGACCCCCGACAGTCTACTAAAAGGCCCCTAAACTGTTCCCCAGAGGCCCCCGAGAGCGCTTCGAAGATACCCCAAGAAGCATCCATGAGGTTTCTGACCCACGTCAGCGTCGTCGAGGTCTCCGCCGCCGCCGTTGTCGTCGTTCCCCGTCAGGGTCGGCGACACCAGCCGTGAGGCCTTCGCAAGTCTACCTCCAGGGGCCGAACCGAAGGAGAACACTGGGATCAA